AGCTCGAGTTACAAAACCGTTTTCAGTGCCTAGAAGACTGCAATGAAGTGGACGATATGAATGACAGGCTCGTGGAAACTGTCCATGTGGTCGGAGCTAAGTTCTGCAAGACCCGCCGCAGAATAACACAAAAACTCTCCGATCACACTCTTAGTCTCATGGCTGTTAGACGGGAGATGAAGCTACATTCTTCAACAGATTTGACAGCATACAGGAAACAGACATATCTCCAAATGCATGCGTCAAGACTTACGCAACTTCTATACAACTCGTATAGAAGTTGCGATCGAGCGGAACCAAGGCTCCAAAGTCTTTGCCAGAAATCTGTCTGCCAGAAAGAGCCAACTGTCAAAGCTGAAGACAGAATGTGGCAGCATCGTTTCCGGGGCACCTGAGATTTTGAGTGAGATTGAGACGTTCTATGGGCAGCTGTACACGTCATCGTTGGAGCCACACGCAAGTGTGAGTAACGATCCAAGAGCGAGTCTTATCCGACGTTATTCCAATGATATCCCGGACGTCAGTCTGAGCGAGGTTAGAATGGCTCTCCAGCACCTTAAAAACGGCAAGGCCCCAGGCGAGGATGGAATTACAGCGAAGCTTCTGAAAACGGGTGGAAAATCGGTACTTGAAGTTCTTCAGAAGCTCTTTAATTCCGTCCTCCGTGGTGGCATTACACCGGAGGCGTGGAGCAGAAGTGCGGTGGTCTTGTTCTTCAAGAAAGGCGACAACGCTCTCTTGAAGAACTACAGGCCATTTTCCTTTCTGAGCCGCGTCTACGTGCTGTTTTCGAGAGTCATTACGAACCGTCTCGCGCACAGACTTGACGACTTCCAGCCTCCCGAACAAGCCGGTTTCCGAAAAGGCTTTAGCACCATAGACCACATACATACCCTTCGGCAAATTGTACAAAAGTCAGAGGAGTACAATTTGCCACTATGTCTGGCGTATGTGGACTATGAAAAAAACTTTGATTCCGTCGAAATTTGGGCGGTGCTGCAGTCCCTTCAGCGGTGCCAAGTGGACTGTCGGTATATCGAAGTGTTGAAGTGCTTGTACAGTAGGGCTACGAGGGCTATCCGAGTACAGAACCAGCGTATGAAACCTATCCAATTACAGAGAGGTGTAAGACAGGGTGACGTCATATCCCCGAAACTCTTCACCGCTGCATTGGAAGATGTTTTCAAGCATCTGGACTGGAAAGGATACGGTATCAACATCAATGGCGGGTACTTCACTCACCTTCGATTTGCCGATAATATAGTCCTTATGGCAGAATCGCTGGAGGACCTAAGCACTATGCTCAATGATTTCAATAGTGTTTCCCAACGGATAGGTCTTAAGATGAACATGGACAAAACAAAGATCATGTTTAATGTCCATGTCACACCTATGCCGGTAGTTGTTGGGAGCACTAAGCTCGAAGTTGTTGACAAGTATGTTTACCTGGGACAAATAGTCCGACTAGGTAAGTCCAACTTCGACCGAGAGGTCACTCGACGGATTCAACTCGGTTGGGTAGCGTTCGGGAAATTACGGCACATCTTCTTGTCAGGTATACCTCAAAACTTGAAAACGAGACTGTACAACCAGTGCGTGTTGCCAGTGATGACATACGGAACTGAGACGTGGTCCTTCACTGCTGGCCGGTTGAGGAAGCTCAAGGTCGCTCAGCATGCTATGGAGAGGGCTATGCTCGGAGTTTCTCTGCGTGATAAACTCAGAAATGAGGATATCCGCAGTAGAGCCAGAGTGACCGACATAGCCCAACGGATTAGTAAGCTGAAGTGGCAATGGGCCGACCATATAGCTCGAAGAACCGACAACCGATGGGGAAGAAAGGTTCTCGAGTGGCAGCCTCGTACCGGCAGGCGAAGTGTTGGGCGTCCCCCCACTAGATCGAATGACGACCTGGTAAGATATGCAGGAAGTCGATGGATGCAGGTGGCTCAGGACCGTGCTGTTTGGCATTCCTTTTGGGAGGCCTATGTTCAGCAGTGGACTTGTGAAGGGCTGTAATGAATGAATGAATGAATGGAATTGAACATCAAACAAGTACCACGTACTCACCCCAACAGAATGGCCTATCAAAAAGGATGAATAGGACACTGGTAGAAAGAGCCAAGTGTATGTTGTATAATGCTCATTTGTCGAAGCAATTTTGGGCCAAGAACTTTTATTAAAAACTAAGTTCTCAATTAAATGATGATTTAACAAAAAACTTTACCTCAGTTTTAACTAGCGACATCTGGTGAACAGAAAATTATTAGCCCTCATTCTTAATTTATGCGATCCTCTCACTGTTGATGAAGCTCTTTCAACTCCACATTCTGATCAGTGGAAGAAGGCCATGAAGGAAGAATATGATTCCTTGGTAAAGAATAAAACATGGTCACTGGTAGATTTGCCGTCAGGTAAAAAAGTAAGACGGATGAGAAAGGTGAGATTGTTAGTTTTAAGATAAGTTATTAAGGGGTGTGCTCAACGAAAAAAAAATACCTCAGTTCGATTCTTGATTGCTCTAGCTGCTAAATACGACCTATAAATGATTCAGATAGATGCTATAAGCGCATTTCTTCAGGGTGACATAGACACTGAAATGTATATGTCACAACAAGAATGCTATAAAGAGAGTGATCAGGTATGTCACCTACATAAATCAATCTACGGGCTCAAGAAGGCTAGTCGTCAGTTGAATCTTAAATTAAACAATGCTCTACTAAAAATCGGATTGAAAAGATCAAAAATAAATCAAAAATGATTTTTATTGCAGTATGGGTAGATGAATTGGTGATTTCTACAAATGACAAGAAAACGGCAACAGGTATCAAAGTAAAACATAAAGAAGAATTCTATATGAAATATCATGGTGAGATAAAATAGTGTATTGGCATAAATATAAATAGAGATCGTAAGGCAGGTGGGATCATGTTGGACCAAGAAAAGTACATAAACCAAGTGTTAGAACGCTTTGGTATGTCTGCTTGCAAACCAGTTCACACTCCGATAGATGTAAATATGAAATTTGATAAGAAACCTGAGAATGAATATAGCAATTTCCCATACAGGGAAGCGGTGGGGTGTCTAATATATTTGGCACAAGTTACGCGACCTGACATCACATATGCGGTGAACAAGTTGAGTTAGTACTGTAATGACCCAGGTATTCAACACTGGCTTGGAGTAAAAGGGTTATGAGATACCTTCAAGGAACCAAGAAACTAAAGTTATGTTATGTCAAAGATGACTCCAAGGAAATAACTGGGTATTGTGATGCAAACTGGGCTAGTGATATAGTGAGGATAGAAAATCATGCACCGGTTACACTTTTATTTTTCAAAATGCTTCCATATCTTGGAATTCCTGTAAACAACAGACTGTGGCACTCTCGACAGCAGAGGCTGAATATATGGCGATGGCTTTGGCGACCCAGGAGGCGTTGTGGTTTCGGCAACTACAAGCTGAGCTCGGGCAAGGCCTGGATAGTGCATTACTTATCTATAGTGATAATCAAAGTACGATAAGGTTAGCATCAACTGACTGTTATAAAGCTAAGACTAAACATATAGATATAAGGTTGCATTTTCTCAGGGAAAATATTGTTAATTGTAAAGTTAAATTTTTATTTGTAAATGGTTTTAACATGGGAGCTGACAATTTGATAAAGGATGTGACACTTGCCAAGCATTTATACTGTATTAGTAAGATGGGATTGCGTTCTAGAGGGAGTGTTAGTAAATGAGAACGCAACCATTTATATTTTTTGTTGCATTCATAGCTAATTTAAGTGCATTTTGTTGGCAACATTTTCTCTATTCTCATTCGCATAGATAACTCTTACCTCATGGTTCATGTACTGTACTGTGTAATTTGCCATTGCTAATAAAATACATTCTTGAATATTTCCGAGTTCTACAGTTAATTTAATGATTTCATCCCAAAATATCAACTGAGCGTTTTCCAACATTTGTCGTATTCGGAATATATGACTTGTAGATATGTTACTCCCATCAATCGACCTTCAACCCATAACGGACCAATGATGTGGCCATTAATGATCGCCGGTCAAAGGTTAACAATGAAACGAACTTGATGAGCACATTCTTTGATTTTATGTGGGTTTTGAAAACTCCACCATTGCTCACTGTGCACGTTGTAAATTCCAAAGCGGGTAAATAATATTGACTCGTCGGTCGTCGCTCCACGAGATGCGATGAAAGCTGGAACTGGCCATGATCACGTAAGCGCTGATAAGTCCGTAATATTAAATCAGTGCTGGAAATTTGAAGAGCAGGAATACAGTCCCTGTACAACGTTTGTAGGTGTTCATCTTCTGCGTATATTCGTCTCGCACCGTCCACATAAACAACACGACGTCACACCGTGGATAATCGCAGGTTCGTAGGTGACTGAAATGAGAGCGCGGGGTGCAGGCGGGTATGCGCGGGCGGCACTTGCGCCAGTGAAAGGACATCGAAGAAGCCTATGGCGGATGAGGCGTGTCGGTTGGCTACAATGGATATCATCACGTTACAAATTCATTGATATTAATGCCGTTTGTAAAGTAGGGTGCATATGATTTGAATTGAATTATACGTGGTAGAGCCATGCTGCAGCTATATTAATAGTATAGTTGTAACACGAATGGGTCGGCTCGACCGGGGAAGGACCATTCCATCTTAGTCTTCACGGGTGACAACGCATCTGCATTTTGATTTGCAGACGAGGACAAATGTAGATGTCTATGGGCCACAGCAACCACTTACCATCAGGTGGACTGTGTGCTCGTTGCCCCCCCCCCCCCCCCCCCCCCGACAAATTTTGATACAGGGCTCCTCTAAGGCACGCTATTCCACTGATACATACGTGTATATAATATACACACTATAGTTGCTAGTGAGTTAAACAATTGCCAATTTATTTTGTTTAGTTCTCCCAAATCAAAAGATTTTGTGTTACACCTGTTTGTGTTTCAGTGACATTTATAATAAGTAACTCACTTAAAATTTGAGGAGAGAATACGGCAACCCAATTCAGGGGATTCTCTTTCAACTCTTCATACATCCTCCTATGTTCATCGGTCACTGGACCGTACTGTTCAGGCACATCTTTCGGTTCGTAAAAGAGGAATGCGGATAAGCATACGGTTACAGTTTTAACATTCTTGGCCTTCATTGCATCTAGTATGTTTTTAAGTCCTACGGATAGATCGGTGGTCGGAGCCAAGGACTCGCGGGTGCCTAAGGTGACAACGACGCCGTCGGTACCCTCCACGGCGTTGGCAACCGTATCGGGCTCGAGGACATTGCCTTGAAATGCCTCCACCTTGTCCTTGAGATGATCGGGGATCTTGACTGGGTCGCGGACGAATGCACGCACTTGTAGACCTGTTAAAAAGCAATTATAAATTGACCGTTTAAATTAAACGTTTGTTGCCTATCGATTTTAGGACAAACTAGTTTGTCGATAGGCTTTGATTATATACATGATAATCAAAGTCAATAGGATAGCTAGGTGTATCGGTCTGAGTGATATTATAATAAAATTATTTACCTACATATTCAAATGAACTTCATACCTACTCAAGACAAGTGTTGTATGTTGACAAAATGTTAATATTTACATTATTAATATTTAAAACAGTAGCACTGTTAAGGTAAATAAGGCTCTACACAAGACTGGCAAGTCAATAATTAGGAAATTGATGAGCAACTGGATATTGATCGTATATACTAGCTGGCCAGGTAGACGTTGTTCTGCCCTTTCCAACGACCATTCCCATAAAAAAAAGTCCTTAAATTCGCAAAGAAAAATATTGCAGGTCATTTATCGGGATAAAAAGTATCTTGTCTCTCAAGTTGGATCAAACTGAACACATTGTGCAAAATTTCTATGAAATCAGTTCAGTAGTTTAGGGGTTCATCACGGACAAACAACATAAGTAACCCTCAATATTTTTTATTGAGATGTTAAGGATTTTTACAGGAAGACGAAGTCGTCGAAAAGGGCAGGACAACGTCTGCCTGGCCACCTAGTATATTATATAGTTTAAATTAAAAGATAAAAGCTCTTAAGAATACCGATATCTACAACTAAGATAAAGATTAATTATTGTATGTATTAATTATTACTGTGGTAAAACTGTCCTTTAGAGGAGGATGTGGTCTGAAATCTTTGTCGGACTGGACAAATGTCTTACTCGGAATATTGGATGCACACAGTATTTTTTTCGGCGTGGCATTTGACGCATTTTAAGAAGACGAGCACAGGGTACACACCTCTCGCTACTTCTATGAAATTCAAATGTACTCAGTACAGTGTTCTTATTGTACCGATCCGTCCGGTCGGTGATATTAGGTACCTTTTATGCGCGGGTGGATAGCTTTGGAAATTAAAAAAATAAAGTACGAAAGTTTTAAAAATTCAGAAATTTCATCCCATTTCTTAACACCATACACTATATAGAAGTCTTTGCTCTACACAAACACAAAGAACAAGAGGAAAAAGAATATTTATGTCGGTCAATTATATCCCAATAGTGGTTTATATTCTATGGTATAAGGGATTATACGAAATTACAAAGTAATATTAAAAAATAAAGAGTTATATTTACCTTTCTTAAGGGCTGCTTCAATTGCGCAAAGGCCAGTCATGCCAGTAGAACCAAAAATTACAATCTTCTTCAGTTTCTGAGAGACGAGGAAATATTTTTTAAAAAGGTGTTTACAGTTAGTAATTAAGTAATTTATAAAAAAAAACGAAAAAAGTTAAAGTTTGTAATAAACAAAACTAGTCACGTTTCGTACCTGCCAACAATTTTCTTGCAGGTTTGGGAGTGCATAACCTACCTTAATATGTACCAACGCCTTAATTTAAAGTGTTTATGAGAATGGTATGTTAAGCAGTGTACAGTTTACGGTTTGATAAGTTAACATTTCCCTCACCCTCCCCCCTTTCTATAAAATGTATTTACATGAACGGAATAATAACCATATATTGATCTTTCTCAAGGATCTATCTAAAGGTTTAGTTATAGGCCGTTTAATAAATTTATTGCGTAATCGTCTTAGTTAGGACCCTTATTTACGTTGTGTTTGTTTAGTAAATTAGTTCTTTTAGGTGTCTTTTGGAAGAATTAATATTTACCAGAGCAGTCGAAAGCTATTGGTAGTACCTTATGATTGTTTTAAGCTAAAGAACCCTGTTCACGAAGACAGGACCAAATAAGGTTAAGAACATTAAATCGTCCCTATTCCATTTGTATCAGGTTCACATCAATCAATTCCTTACTAATTAATCATTTCCTGCTTGGAAAAAGCTCATAATATTTATACTTTATATTTATACGTGGTAGAGCCATGATGCAGCTATATTAGTAGTATAGTTGTTGCACGAATGGGTCGGTTCTACGACCTCGGCTCGGAGACTCTTTTTACTGGAAAAGAGGCATTCCATCTTAGTCCTCACGGGTGACGACGCATCTGCATTTTGATTCTTTATTGAGGACAAATGTAGATGTCTATGGGTCACAGCAACCACTTACCATCAGGTGGACTGTGTGCTCGTTTGTCACCCCATCCTATAAAAAAAATCCAGATAGCTTCGCTATCCGACATTTTAAAAAATGTGAGGGAGGCACACGGCTCCACACACACTGTGTACGGCTCCACACACGCCGTGTACGGCGAGCGTCAACCAACCAACGCGCTCTCTCCGGACGAGACGTTAATTTGGGAACTGGATGGTAGTCCACAGCAAAACAACTGGCGAACCAGTAAAAGAGAGCTTGGCTGCTTGGTAGTGCGTAAGCACAAACATCGACCGAAGTCGCGCATGTCAATACGTGTAAACGCCATACAGAATACGACTAAATCCAGCTACAGCGAATGTATGTCATATGGATTAGGCAATAATAAGCACACAGGCCATTAAAAGCCTGCAGACGTTATGTAAGTGTAAGGCATCACCACCAATTGCATGATCAGCACGGCTACTAGCCGCAGGGCGTGTCATGATTCTACCGCTCACCTCAAGGGAATTGAGTTCCACGCTGTGCGGGTTTCGGCCGCAGCCTTGAAAGCCTCCTCAGAGTCTCCCTCTAGCTACCACCCGCACGAAGTCGACACATATGCTCCACCAACCAATAAATACTACAGCAAATATAGCCAAAAGGCAGTTATAAGATAATAGCAATAATTCGCCATCAGAAAGGGTTTGTGTCACTGATATTAAGTATATGCATTTTTCGATCATGTTTGTCTCACCCATCAAAAAGTTGCCTTCAATCATTCAAAGGTGGCAAATTTACAGAGATATATTATTATGTTGTTATATAAAACATCTGGTCAGATAGTCTGCAGCCCCGTAATGAAGGGACTTGACCTGGGAAAAGTTACTGAGGTGTGTGTCAAACCCAGACGCAGAGAGCGCCGTTGAGAATAGCGACCTGCTAGACAACCATCGCAGAGACGCAATACTGCAAAACGCAACAAGCATCAATCGACTATCATCGGGCTTACACCATCCCAAGTTCCCCCATCCCAGCAGACATCATCACCCGCATACCTCCATAGACTAGTACCACAAGATGCATCGAATCAGGTGCACAGATCCATCACAAGACGCAATACCGCAATTTGCAGTAAGCATCTCAATGCAACAATCATACGGATGATGCCCCCTCACAACACACCACACATACCTCACTACCAAAGGCTAGTTGACAGAGAATGCTTTTTTGGCATTAAGTTCGCCCTTGTACCAAATGTTTGTTTATTTGTTTGAGTGCAACAAAGAATTTTCTATCTATCTATCTATCACAACACACCAACATGATCCCTATCGACTTTGGTAACAAAATTGGTGGTACTGTTGTTTATTAAAAAATAGCAACAACGTATCATAGTAGCATGCTACTAAAACGCTATGTTACTGGCTATAATATATAATGAGTTGAGTATGCGCCCTAATCCAAAAGATAGCCGACATAACGCTATGCGCTAAGACATCATAACGCTAAGCGCTAAGACGCCGCTTACAAACGGTAGGGGTGTGTGACGTCCACGGGCACGTCGTATTGCTACAACAAACTTACAACCGCTTACCACTGGCACTAAGATGATATGGCTATGACACATCGGTTGGCGAGTCCAAGTTTATCTCGATCTCGGAAGCTGTGAAGCAATCTACACGCCGCTATAATAATCCGTTTCAAGTCCTATTTCTATCAATATAATGCTTTTACGTATTTGCGGCCTTCCACATATTTGCTTTATTACATAGAGCTGAAATGATTTTTGTCATTGTCAAATTTTCAAAGTAAACATGAACTCCGTAATAAATATTTCTTAAAAATACAATTAGTGCGTAAATTCAAGTATTATATTACTTATATATGAGCCACGACGATACTAATATGTCAATCTGCGAGGGCGATGAATCACGGAACGCTGCGAATGTGACGCCGCCGTTTGTTTACAATCGGCCTAGAAATGTTACGATGGAGGATTTTAAGAAATTTCAAGAGGAAATGAGAACTATGTTTGAAAAGTTAAATACAACAGTTACGAGCCAACATCAGGAATTTAAAAATTTCTCGTCAACTTTGATGGAAATTAAACAGGCAAATTTAAATATAGAAAATTCAATGGTTATGTTATCGTCTCAAATTCAAGACCTAACAAAGAGCATCTCTCGGTTAGAAAATAAAGTAAAAGAAGACAGAGAATATATTACGCTATTGGAGGAAAGGATTGAAAATTTGCAAATAGGGTGCCGTAAATCAAATCTAGAGATTAAAAATGTGCCTAAAAAAGTAATGAATCAAAAGAAGATTTGAAGGAAATGGCCTTATGTTTATCAAATACCATAGGAGGTAACCTACTCAAAACCGATATTAAAGACATTTATATGGTTCGTGCAAAAAATAGACTCTCAGAACACTCCGATTGTAATTGAAACTGCATCAACTCTGGTGAAAAATGACATTTTCAAATTGTGTAAGTCCTTCGATATAAAAACTAAAAGTAAACTATGTGCTAAGCACTTGGGTTTCCGAACTTCCGAGGATACTCCAATCTTCGTATCGGAACAACTCACTTCAAAAGGCGCCCGGTCGCATTTTCTCGCCAGAGACCTGGTCAAGTCCAAGCAGTACAAGTACTGCTGGACTGCTTACGGCAGGGTTTATGTTCGGGAGTCTTATCTATTATTGTCTATCTTGTCTATTAGTGATGTATAATAAATATAGTCGTAAAATAATACTTTTCCTCGATCCTAGAATACCTTATGTTCTCTATGTTTTTGTAGGTAAGATGTCATATGCAAAATCGAAGAATTATATATATTTAGTAATATTTTGTTAACACACACACACACACACCAAATGATTTAGCTATGAACGTAAATATCCTTATTAATGTTACGAGAAAAAGAAAACGTTTGCTACCACTTTATAATTCAATATCTATTTTTAATGATTAACTCAATAAATACTATAACTAACATGGACAACTTAGAAATTGCACGATCAATAAAATGTAATGTTGAAGATGTTGAAAAGTTATTAAATATAAGTTATGAGGATTTCAAGATGATAACCCAAAACATTCGTAGTATCTATTCCAATTTTGATGACATGCTTGCTACACTAACTAGTTTTAAATTTTGTCCACCAATCATTATTTTGACCGAATGTTGGCTCTCAGAACACAAATCAATACCAGCTATCACAAATTATGTATCATACTCTTCTACTCGATATTTTAATAAAAGTGATGGTGTCGTGGCTTACGTTAAGAATGATATGACTGTTAACGTAAAGGAAATTTTACTTCAAAATGCCTCGTGTCTTCAAATAGAAATGGAAACAGTTATAATTTTGGCTATTTATAGATCACCTAATACCAATGTGACATCTTTATAAATTCATTAAATGATCATTTGGAATCTATAAGTATATGAAAAAAAAACATATTAAATGAATAATTTTAATGATCGGAATAATGTATTTATTTACGTGGTAGAGCCATGCTGCAACTATATTAGTAGTATAGTTGTAGCAAGAACGGGTCGGCTCGACAGGGGAAGGACCACGCTCTCACAGAATAGCAGCGTAAAATAGCAGCTTAACGCTGCTGTGTTTCGTATGGTGAGTGTAGACAACCAGAGACCCTTTTTACTGGTAATGAGGCATTCCATCTTAGTCCTCACGGGTAACAACGCATCTGCATTTTGATTTGTAATAGAGGATAGATATAGATGTCTATGGGTAGCAGCAACCACTTACCATCAGGTGAACTGTGTGCTCCTTTGTCACTCTTATCCTATAAAAAAAAATATGCGTTAATTGCCTATGTTTATATTATTTAATCGGATTTTGATATCAGCCGTTGTGTTTCAATCTAGCGGCTCTTTGATATGTGAATCAAATAAGCTACAATTTTTAATGTATACTTAACGATCCGCCCCCTCTTCGCACGATTGATTTCTATAATCTCGACAACAACGCCACCTGCCGGTTCCAATTGTGAATCTAAACCATTCTCTTATCAATTTACTAACACACACAAAATTTCATCAAAATCGGTCCAGCCGTTAAGGAGGAGATCAGTCACATACACACGGACAGAAGAATTATATAATATATAATATGCATGTATTATACATATAAACTTTAATTACACCATCAAAATGGCGTAGTTTAAATGATCTAATAGCCAGCTCATGGACTATAAGCGTACAGACGGCAGGAAGCGACTTTGTTTTATACTATGTAGAGAAGAGAAGAGATGCAACACTCGAAACAAAAGATTTACATGTAGATTTGCATCTCGAATGTTATTAATAAAAATACGCAAATGAAATATCGTCTTAGTAATGGTTGTAGTTAATTTTAGCCAACTTCAAAAAAGAAAGAGGTTCTCAATTCGATTATACGTTTTTTTAACTTTTTTTTATGGACTCATACATAAAAACTTTTACAATTGTCAAGTGATAAGACATTACCCATTATAATATTTTGTTTCAAAAACTCAAGAAGTTTTATATGTTGTTCAATATGCTGATGCGTCACAAGTGCTAAGTTCTAGGGAGTTTATTACTTGGGAGTTTATTATTTAAACAACCTGACAGTTGTAACTTTAAGGAAATTTTGCAGTTATTAAACACTTCACTACCTTTCTTTATTATATATATCAGTTCGACCCTTATTACTGTTGCAAGATTATACGCTGTGCACTTACCAGCCCTAGCCTAGCATGAAATGGACAAAATACACGTAAACAATGGAAATGTAAATCTTTCAAAAACAGCAACCTCTTCATAATGCGATATAGAACGCTGTTATAAATATATTACAACTAATTGCTACCAGCCTTTAAAACTATTAATGCAAAATGTGTGCAGAATTAAAAAAATTACGATAAATAATCTAATAAAAATTACTAACAATGTCTAAAATTACTTTTGACATAATAATCGCGACTGAACGTTGGTTACAAAGTCCTCAAATAATACCTCCTATTGAAGGCTACAGTTATACGCTAAATAACAATACGCAAAATGAAGGTGTGATAATTTATAGCAAAATGACTTCAAATATATCGATTTATGAACCAAACTTCATCGACACTAACCGTATGCTAGCTAAGCTAAATAACGACACAATTATTGTAGAAATTTATAGGCCTCCTAGTCAAAAAGAAAGAAGAAATACTAAATATTAAATTTAATATTTCTTCTTGTTTTAGATATCTCATTTTTTTCAGTCTTTTTAATAAATAAATAATAATCATTTATTTCAATCCATCAGATCTTAGTTACAGTAGTACTCTTGAAATGAAATTTAATATTAGCTAATAGTTCATTACATAAATTATTTGGATGTTTTCTGACCTTTTTGTGGAGATTATCCCTATTTCTGGGCCTCCTAGTATAGTATAGTAATTGTTTTGGTGTATGAATCAATAATGTATGATAACGAATTTACCCGATAATTAGCCTCAAGATTAACGTTAAACATATTAAAAATTGGTGTAAAGTCCATATTTATGAAACGAAGTTCTTTATCGGATAGTAAGGATTTGGCAGATGAGGGCTAGGCGACAAAACGTGTAAGATTTTTCCGTCACGACCCCTTCTGACGTACTGTAAATAGCCTTGGCGGCTACAAGAAAGCGAGATGGAATAATATCAATCTACCTTGCACTTTTTCTTATATTAACCACGAAAGAAATATTATTTTGTTTTAAATGGTGCTTCGTTTTAATAGACGCTAATAAATCATTTATTTGTTAATCAATAATATAATACGTTTATCAATAATAATATACTACGAAAGGTACTTAGTTCCAACCGAGTGTTCCACGACACTCACACGTGTTTCTTTATTTACTTATGTTGTGTGATTATTTTCTTCATGAAATTACTGCAATATTCATTAGTTTTTGAATTTATAAACAAGATAACGCAGTCATGATCCGTAATTGGTTTCTGAGAAGCTCAGCATGTTGCTTTGTAATTCGTTTTTAACATAATATGATCCAAGCAGGTTCGATTGTGTGTGGGCAATATATGCACAGAAAGGATACCAAATGACGCTAACAAATTTAAGTAACTTTATGCATGATTATCTTTGCTCTGTTCACAAATATCACTATTAATATCGCCTGCTATTATTATATTTTATAGCAATATATTGTTAGCAATAAATAATTAACAGATTCAATAAACTTTGTAAATTCTTTTTGACTAGGAGGCCCATAAATTGCTACAATAATTGTGTCGTTATGTAGCTTACCAAGCATACAGTTAGCGCCGATGAACTTTGGTTCATAAATTGATATATTTGAATTAATTTTGCTATAAATTATCACACCTTCATTTTGCGTATTGTTATTTAGCGTATAACTGTAGCCTTCAATAGGAGGTATCTATTATTTGAGAACTTTGTAACCAACATTCAGTCGCGATTATTATGTCAAAAGTAATTTTAGACCTTGTTCGTAATGTAATTAGATTACCGTAATTTTTTCTAATACTGCGCACGTTCTGCATTAATAGTTTTAAGGGCTGGTAGCAATTAGTTGTAATATAAATATAGCGTTCTATATCGCATTATAATGAGGTTGCTGTTTTCTAAAGATTTACATATACATTGTTTACGTGTATTTTGTCCATTTCATGCTAGGCTTGGGCTGGTAAGTGCACAGCGTATAATCTTGCAACAGTAGTAAGAGTAGATTAACATAACGACTACCACCAGCGATTTTTCCAGACCGATACGACTTAGGGACTTTCAAGAAAAAGGCTACTCATTTTTAAAAGGCCGGCAACGCGTCTACAATTACCCTGGTGTTGCAGTTGTTCAAGTAGCGGTAGCGGTAGTCACTTACCATCAGGTGAGCCGCATGCTCGTTTGCACCTCTCCTATAAAAAAAAATCTGGTATATAAAATGAAGAAAGGTAGTGAATCTAATATATAAACGCGTTGCGTTGTAATAATAAAATATGTTAAATAACTGCTAAATGTCCTTAAAGTTACAACGGTCAGATTGTTTAAATAATAAAGAGATATCTTAGTGACTTTGTATACAACCGTTTAGTGCCTAATGATATCTAAGTTCATCGTATTAATTGAAGCAGAACAATAGCGTAGTTACAGGCTAGTACCTATTAAAAATGTCAATGAATTGTAGAGCTATCGAACACATACCTCCGTGCCATGATAGTCATGAATCACCGTCACATCCCTCTGTGCCTCCGCCTCCGGGTGCACAAAGCTCATGTTGCTTAGAGACGACTGCGATGTGCAGGCGCACTGTATCCACACGCACGCTGATACAAACAACGCCACATAATTAAAATTATACGGACTCATAATTAACCGTACTCCCACGAGAACTGGCCACGGACTGACCGTATTCACGGCCGTCAACGTCTTATATTCAAAGGACAACCAGGCGTGCAGGAGGACAACTCTCAACAAACTAAGTTTGGTACTTTTTTCTGCCAGTGCTAAGCATTTTTCTTGATGCCACTAAAATTTCACAGTTCGATTAAATAGAACGTGGAATTAAATAAATTTGTTTATCAAACATTCTAGTTTTGTGTAGTTTCTTCTAAGATATTTAAGTCATTGTGTAGACTTAGATTGACTGTTACAACAACTAACTCATGCTCCCGTGGCAATATTAAATGCAAGCCTACATGTTGATAAACAAGTCGGTTTTATTATTACGTTTTAATTTTTTCAATAAATTAAAAAAAAACTATTTACATAATTGAAAAATAACCTATAATGTTATATAAGTAATATAATGTAATTGCTCTCTGCTAACATCTTATTAGAATTACAAAATAGTAAAGATATATTGTAAGTATACATCCCACTTTGTAAAATAAATGTCAGGCTATATTGCAAACACGTTCCTGAGAGTTCGGAATTTGAATAGTACGAAAAAATAATTGTTAAACATAAGCAGTTTTACAACCAATTACGTTAAATAACGTTTACCATCTAAAAGTCCACCGTGTGAACATAAGGCTCCCCATGTATTTCCTCACAGGGGGGATATGCTGTAAAAAAGATTAGAGTCTCACCAGTGTCGAGACAGATAGATTAGTTTATTTCGGTTATTTCCATAGCATGATACGGCTAATTCAGAAACTATGTTTGTTTTACAGAAGAGGGCCATTAGAGCTATTTACAACCTAAAACCGAGAGAGTCTCTTAGAGATAAATTTAAAGAAATTAATGTATTAACTTTGGCCTCTCAGTATCTTTACGAATATTTAATGTATCTTCACAAAAACAAACGTAGTTTTAGTAAAAAAAGTGATATAAGTACACTCTGTAAACACTCGGAACAAACACATGCTAGTGATACCAGTTTCTCGACTCGACAGAGTTAATAATTCATTCTTGGGGCCAATGTATACGCTATTACAACAAGGACCCGGAAAGTGTACAGACTAAAAGTACAGTTTAAATGTTTTGTTAAGCTAAAACTATATAAAAAAGGTTATTAAAATATAATAAAAAATTAATTTATTCTAATTAATAGAATCAGGCGTTAATTTGCGGAATTCCATTATATAAAAGCTTTTAGAAAAATTTACTTCGCAAATATCCGCGTTATAAAATAATATGATGTGTTTTACCTAGTATGAAGAGCACCTCCCGCCCTCCCTCAATTGCGTGCACTATCCCCGTCACCACTAATCCCAGCACCGCTACTCCCAACACCACTACACTACACAAGGTACGCACCGGTTGTTCGTGCAGCTAGAATGCTTAACATCGTAGCACAACGATTAGACATATTTAATTGTACATTGGCGGAATTCGAGAGGGTGACATTAAACTATTTGTCTTTTTTACATTAGCGGCCACATTGTTGCATTAGGCTCCATTCCTATAATAACAATTGTGAGTTAGTAAATAAAGAAAATAAAATAAAATGTAGCGAAAAAATTCGAACAGTTGTTACCTTAAACCTCAGACCAATAAAGAAAGTACGGTGCCCTGAGTCCATTATATTGCATATGTCCAGTAGAAAAAAAGGAAAAAGATGCTTTGGCATTTGCATTTGCATTTGATCTTTGTACGCAACGCTCCGTTTATTCTATGATATATATTATATACGCGTGCTCATAATGATATATAAATTCTAATAATGCCAAAAATAGCATTAAAACTATAGGAAGCGAGAAACATTGAATATCTAGAGAATTTATGAGTTATGAAACTTTTCGCACAACATTTAAAATTCCAATATAAATATTTATACAAAATTATTATCTCTCATTCCAAGGTTTACCATCTTTTTTGGCATAAGTGAGAGAATATCGGTTTTATTATTACATTTTAATATTTTCATTAAATAACAAAACTATTAACTTGAATTTAATTGATGAATAACCCATAATGCTAACATCTTGTTTGTATTGAAAAATAGGAAAGATATATAGTAATATAAACACCTACAGCCCACTTTGTATAATCAACAGCCTACTTTGTATAATTGTAACAGTGTTAGAGCCACGCGGCAGCTTCTGCTGATGCACGGATGGGCCGGCTCAAACCGGGGAAGTACCACAACCTCACAGAATACAAGCCTGAAGTAGAAGCTTTGCTTCTGCGTTTCGCTTGGTTAGTGTAGGTGACCGGTAATCATCCCGTGGTGGTGGTATATACAGCAGCATCTGATAACAAATCAAATTAATTTCATTAAAACCGGTTGCCAACCCGTCAGCCTAGCGTGGCAACTATAGCAGATATCCCCCTGTGAGGAAATATATGGAGAGACCTATATTCACACAGTGTACTTTTGATAGGCCGTTATGGTGATAACGTGTAAATCGCTTAAATATGCATATCGCTAACTTTTAAGGATAAACGTTATTTAACGTAATTGGTTACATCCACACTTTCCGAATTCTCAGGAAAATGAAACGTGTTTGCAATGTAGCCTGACATTTATTATACAAAGTAGGCTGTATACTTCCTAATATGTCTTTCGTATTTAGTGATTCTAACAAGATGTTAGTAAAGAGCAATCACATTATATTACTTATACAACATTGTAGGTTGTTTTTCAATTAAATTAAATAGTTTGTTTTTATTATAAATATTAAAATGTAATAATAAAACCGGTACTTATTTACCAACATGTAGGTTTGCATATAATATTGCCACGGGAGCATGAGTTAGTTTTTTTTTAAAAAATCAATCTAAGTTTCAACTTTTTCCGTGTATTTGTGATGTACAATGAAGTCTACATAATAATTCAAATATCTTAGAAGAAACTGCACAAAACGTTACAATCTTTAAAATATCTCGCTAGGGTTAGCACACAACTGCAATTGACTGCAATGTCTGATAAACAAATTTATTTCATTCCATGCTCTATTTAATCGAACTGTCAAATATTAGTGGCATCAAGAAAAATGCTTAGCACTGGTATAAAAAAGTCCCAAACTTCGTTTGTTGAGAGTTGTCCTCCTGCACGCCTGGTTGTTCTTTGAATATAAGACGTTGACGGCCGTGAATACCCTATATATCGAGGGCGGCACTGAAAATTTCGGGAATCAAGGAAGTGATACAACAAATGATGTGACAAAAAAAATCTCTGTCCACGCAATTTATTCTTTACTAGCTGTGCCCGCGGCGTAGCTCGCGAATATAGGTTTTACTTAAAGAATTTGACGTTTAGGGTAAGAGAATATTAACCGATTTATATCATTACTGTATGAATAAGTGGTAACAAAATAAATCGATATTCTCAAAGTTCTAAGTCGTTTATGATAGAGCTTCTGTGTAAACGACGATAGAAGTAGACTTAGCCGGGGCGTACAGAAAAAGGTTACGGGGACTACTAACGCGAGAAAAAGCAATATAGAGCTGGCCATGTGCAAAACAATCAGTACTGACGCGTAAAATTTGACCTTGCGCTTTATTTACGATCGTCGCATAACACACGCTGAGTGGGAAACACACTTAAAATAGGGATGTTAGATGATCATCGATGTTAAAAATTAAAACTTAGATGTTTTAACATCGATGTTGACATATGTCAAACATCGAAACATCGACTTCAATGAACCCATAATCGATAATTGGGAACTTGCAAACAATGCGAACTCGCGAAATCAATATCAACTAAATCTTGCATCTGCTCTGAAGATTAAAAATTTTGAATAATTCAGAATTTCTGAACGCATCGTTAATCTAAAAAAATGTCAGTATGGTGAGTCAAACTTAATTGTCAAGTGTCTCCTGTAATGTCACAATGGTCACTGCTTTCGCTTTATTTTGTAGTGTCGTTGTCGGTTGTCGCATAATAACTATTCTACGTAAATTGATATTCAAGTTAATTGTTACTTTTCCCTTGCTGTGTATACCCACATAATTTTAAAACAATGTGTAACTATCTACACATATACAAAAACCATCGATAATGGTCAACATCGATGTTTTGAGTGGCCTAAACATCGAACATCGATGTTGAGCTAGCGATGCCAACATCGATGTTATTATCCCTATCTTAAAACTGAAGCCTGAGCCGTGGTAGCTCAGATGGTTAGCGCTCGCTGTAAGCTTCACAGTACTCGAGCAACCCGGGTTCGATCCCCGCCGACACCAATGAAATTGTCAATTGCAATTTTAAGTGCTGATTTACCACGTGCTCGGCGGTGAAGGAAAAAATCGTGAGGAAACCTGCATGTTTGAGAAATAAAAAATAATATTTCGATGACATGTGAAGTTCGCCAACACGTATTGGGGCAGCGCGGTGGACATTTCCTTGCCCTAAAACCCTCTCAGAAATGAGAGGAGGCCTGTGCCCAGCAGTGGGACGTAAATAGGCTGCAACTTTACTTAAAACTGAAAAAAAAGTTATTTGGTATTAGAGTGATTCTGGCTATAAAACAATATCACCATCACGACATTTATTGCAATTTTGCTACTTTAAGTTTTAGTTTTGTTGAATAATTAAATATTTCAATACCTCTGTATACATATCTTACAGGCTTACAGCTTCGTCAGGCTCATGGACATAAATTATTACAGTGAGTCTCAATACGATTCACCTGCGAAAAATCTTAACACCGCAATTCAGAAAAGGTTGTAATTTGTACAACGCCATCTATTACGTTCTTTGTGAGAAAACATCCTTTTTTAATTTAAGGAAAACATATTTTTACTGTGTTTTAAGTACTATAATAGAACGATACGAAATATATTATAATAGAACGTTTTTTTTACACACGAATCTTTTTATTACTATTTTTGGGATTTTGTGGCGCCATTAAAAAAATTCGAACCTACATTTCAAAATAATAATCATGACTTTCGATAGAATTAACCAATTTCAATAAAACAAAGATTAAATGAACTTGATAATACGCTTTATGATTT